AGCAGGGACTTGGGTGGGGATGGACAGGGGGAGGGGGACTCAGGGACTGGGACTGGGACGTACTCTCTGACAGGAAGGACACAAGATGGAGATGGGGTCGGACAAGGGGATGGGGCGGGCACAGGGAACAGACTTGGGGACGAAGAGGGGGACACAGGGATGTGGCAAACACAGGGATGGACAGCATAGAGACTGACATTGGGGGGGGGTCTCAGGATCGGGGACGGACTCACGGACTGGGAAGGACACCGGAACGGGAAGGGGGGGCAGACACAGGGCGCGGACATGGGGACAGGGCAGACACGGGGACTGCAACTCCCACACTGGGACTGGGAAGGGCACGGGATGGACAGGGGAATGGGGCTGGAGATGGATACTGGGACAATGACGGGATGGGGACACACTGGGATGGGGACTGAGATGGACACAGGGATGGACATGGTGACTGGGACTGACACAGGGACTAGGTGGACAAGGGTATGGACACTGGGAAGGGGACAGAATGGACACCGGACAGGAAGAGAAGGAAAGAAGGGAGGGAGGGAGGAAAGAAGGGAGGGAGAGAGGGGGGAGGGAGGGAAGAAGAATAAAACCCTAAGTGAAGTCCCATGGCTTCAGAGCAGCCATTCTGTGTCATTGTGACACAGAAGTTTGGGATTGGACATTTTTTTGAATGGCTTCCTTAAACTAGCTGTGCTTTATTTGTGAGTTAATGAGAATAAAGTGATTTTTTTTTCTTTTGGTTTTTCGAGACAGGGTTTCTCTGTGTAGCTTTGGAGCCTATCCTGGTACTCGCTCTGTAGACCAGGCTGGCCTCGAACTCACAGAGATCCACCTGCCTCTGCCTCCCAAGTGCTGGGATTAAAGGTGTGCACCACCAATGCCTGGCAAAAGTGATTTTTTTTTAAGAAAGAAAACAATCACATTTTATAGAGTATTACTTTCAAGACTTAAAACTTGTATTAATCAAATGGAGAAATTACACTTTTAGAAACTACTATTCTGCTGGCATTTTATCACAGAGAACAGAAAGTTACTGACCCCCCCTGCTGGTTTAATAAAATGCCCCCCCAAGTAGCTATCCAAAGGCACTGCTCAAAAAGTCCTAGCTAGTGCCATTACTAATGGTGTGCTCTTTCCAAGTCCCAGCAGGAACGGTGAGCACCTGATGGTGGCAGAAGAACAACTGGAACAGTCTGATCAGCAATTACCAGTCTCCTAAATCAATGAAATCCATTGTTCCCTGCTTTAAAAACTACACCTTCTGTTTCACATTTCAGTAAGAACCACCTTAGGAAGTCCAATCCAAACAACAGGCAACAATTCTTTCTTTCTTTTCTGGAAAATCTGCTTTCTCCCTTCCTTTAAAAGTAAAGAGAGAGAGGGAGAAAGAGAGAGAGAGAGAGAGAGAGAGAGAGAGAGAGAGGGAGAGAGAGAAGAAAAATCAGCTTACCGTGCTTCAAGTCCAACGTGGTAGCTGCTTCTGGAAATGCATTAGACAAACATTTGAGGAAACAACGGCAGCTCTCCTCTCCCTTCTTCTGTACCACAATTAACAGCTTCCGGCTTTTCTTCAGGGGATCTGTAATTTCCTCTAGCATCTCATATTCGTCCTCAGAAATCAGTCTCCGAGAGGTTAATGTGTCCAAGAGCGAATCGGGGTCTTGCTGGAGGACAGTAAGCAACTTGGTTCTTTGTCTTTCTATGATTTCGGAGGAAGCACTCTCGGTAGCCATTGCTTTCTAAGAACCAGGAAATGGATTAAGTCATTCTGGCAAGTAAAGAAATGTAATTTAAAAAGGAAAGAAAGAAGGAAAGATGGGAATTCCACTTAGCAAAGATAAAAATATGTCAAGAATACCTATTGTTGGAGAGGCCAGACAGGAACACACACAGGAAGTGAATCAGTCCTGAGCACCCTGGAGCTGATTTCCTGTTGTACTTGATTTCGCTTTATCTGCTCTGTGTGTGTGTGTGTGTGTGTGTGTGTGTGTGTGTGTCTATGGGGGGGGTCTGTGTGTGGGGGGGTCTGTGTTTGCTGAGCACAGAACCCAAGGTCTCATGATGTTCTGCCACTCGAGGACACCCCTAATCCTCTCTGCTCTTTGATCACAAGACTGAGTTTCATTAATACTGGGCAGTGGGAAACATGCCACAAATGGTAGCACACACATTATAATCCTATCATTCAGAAAGCAGAGGCAGGAGAATCAGGGTTAGCCTATTCTACACTGTATTCTAAGCCATCCAGGACCACACGGAGAGACCCTCTCTCAGTAAAAAAAAGACAAGACATGAAGTGAGGCTAAGGCCTTCCCCAAGGAAGTTCCCCTTGAACTTCAAGTTGAGCTAGGTGTTCCTGCCCTGGGCACCATAATATGATGACAGAAATGTAAATTCATTGATTGATTTGTGGAGAGTAATCTTCAATATGCAGGTAAATAGTGAGAGTTAGGTAACGATTTAAAATGTGTAACTTTCAATCCAGCAATCCTACCTTGGAAATTCAGGGGCTGGAGAGACAGCTTAGCAGGAAGAACACTAGCTACTCTCTTTTTTTTTTTTTTTTTTTTTTTTTTTTTTTTTTTTTTTTTTAGGATTTATTTATTTATTTATCATTTATACAGTGTGTGCCAGAAGAGGGCACCAGATCACATTACAGATGGTTGTGAGCCACCATGTGGTTGCTGGGAATTAAACTCAGAACCTCTGGAAGAGCAGTCAGTGCTCTTAACCCCTGAGCCATCGCTCCAGCCCCAACACTAGCTACTCTTACAGAAGATCTGGCCGGGGTTCGGTTCCCACATTCACAAGGTGGTGGTTCAGAGCCATCCATAAATCCAGTGCTAAGAGAACTGACTCCCTCTTCTGGGCACCAGGCATACACATGGTACACATATATACATACATGCAAGAAACTCATATACATAACAAAATAAGTTTAAAGAAAATATTAGATACATGCCAAAAATATACATATAAAAATTCTAAAAGTATAATAACAGCAGAAAATCAAAAATAACCTAAATTTCCATAAATCAGGGCTCTGTGAAATAAATGATAGTAGTAAATATCAAATATATTATTTTGATGCATATATATAATATGGGTTTGTTTTGTTTTGTTTTGAGACAAGGTTTCTCTATTTTACAGCCTTGGCTGTCCTAGAACTCACTCTGTAGACCAGGCTGGCCTTGAACTCACAGAGATCTGCCTGTTTCTGCCTCTGGAGTGCTGGGATCAAAAAAGTATGCCACCACACCCAGCCCACCAAAGAACTATTGAACTGTTAAGATTTGATTTATTTGTGAGATATCATGTGTGTGCTGGGAATTGAATCCTGGTTCAATACTGGTTCCCTGAAAGGGTAGTCAGTGTTCTTAACTGCTATGCAGTCTCTCCAGCATCCTACTAGACTGTAAAAAAAGGATAAAGTAGGACTTGATAAATGATGATAACCACTTTATAATATTTTGGAAAACAGCAAGTTATAGAACCCATTAAGTAAATAAATAAAAAACAAGCTGGGCATGGTAGTGTATGCCTTCAATCCCAGCACTGGGAGGCACAGACAGGCAGATTTCTGTGCATTTGAGGCCAACCTGGTCTACAAAGAGAGCTCCAGGCTATTTGAGGCTATATAGTGTGACCCTGCCTCAAAAATAAGCAGACCAAAAAAAAAAAAAAAAACCAGTATATAAGCTAGGTATGGTGACACATGCCTCTAACCTCAACCCTAGAGAGGCAGAGGCAGAGGGATCTCTGAGTCAAAGACTGGTCTGGTCTACATACCAAGTTCCAGGCTGGCCTAGATGGTATAGTGAGATCTTGTCTCAGGAAAAAAAAAAAGTGTGTGTGTGTGTGTGTGTGTGTGTGTGTGTGTGTGTGTGTGCACATAAACACATATATAGCAATTTTTTTATAAAATAATCAAGAGATATCCAAATTTTAACACTGGCTACTTCTGAGGATGAGATTATAAATGGGTTTATATTTTGTACTTTAAACACTAATATATTTTAGGGCTAGAGATGTGGCTCAAAAGTTAAGAGCACTTATTGCTCCTACAGAGGACCTGGGTCTGATTCCCAGTACCCATATAGTGGCTCACAACCAACCATAACTCCAGTTCCAAGAAATCCAATGCCTTCTTCTGAACTCTGCTGGTACTAGGCATGAATGTGGTACATATCCATACATGGAGACACATAAAAGAAGTTTTAATTTAAATTAATTTTTTGAGACAGGGTCTCTCTAATGTAGCTCTGGCTGTCCAGAAACTCATTATGTGGTCTAGGATGGCTTTGAACTCACAGAGATCCACCTGCCACTGCCTCCCAAATTACTTATGTCATCAAATATAGAGAAGTCAACCTGGTGCCCAACCAGAGATTTCACACCTATTAATTAGTATTTATGGTACTGGAAATACTGTGTACACTACCAGAGGAGAAAGGTAGTCATCACCCAGGTACATAGCCTGTGACCTACAACAGTGACTAGCAACAGTGGCCTAAATGTTATAGGAATAACAAACTTTCTGATTGAATTTAAGGCCCATTCCATTAGATGGGACCAATATCTGACAATATCTGGGTGGCCAAGAATCTGAAACTAGATAGGTCATAGACCGAGAGGAAAATCTACTAATATCATTCTGCTAAAGGAGCATAGCAATAAAATGACTCCTAATGACATTTTGCTATAGCCACAGACCAGTGCCTTGCTCAAGCCACATCAGAGAAGCTTCCTCTTGCAGTATATGAGAGCTAGGTGATGTGCAATAAATGAGAGACTTTGGAGTACAACATCCTAAATGGAATGTCTTCATCAAACCCCTTGTATCAAGGCTCCGGGATCTATGTGGAAGAGGAGGTAGAAAGATTGCATGTACTAGAAGAAGGAAACTGTCTTCCAGATACTACAGGACTGATGCACATATGAGCTCAAAGAGACTGTGGCAGCATGCAAAAGACTTGCACACATTCACGCCAGATGGGGGTCCTAGCACTGAGAGGGCAAGTGGACATGGGATCCCACTCCTCCAATCCTGACCAAAAAGCAACCTGTACTGGATACCTGCTAGCGAAAGGAAATCAGTTCTTACCAATGGAGTGACACTGGGTACATGACACTCCAGGGTAGGTCCCATGCCCAAGAGGTGGCATTTTTTGACTTACTGTTCTTTTGCCTGCATGATTTTCATTTTTGTATTTTTTTTGATGGGGGTGGGGGTTGAGGTGGGGTTTGAAGTGGAGTCATGTTTCTCATTTGTTTTCTGTTTGCTTTTTAAAATAATTTATTTTTATTTTATGTTCATTGGTTTTTGGTTTTCTTAAAGATTCATTTATTACGCCAGGCATTGGTGGCGCACGCCTTTAATCCCAGCACTCAGGAGGCAGAGGCAGGCGGATCTCTGTGAGTTCGTGGCCAGCCCGGTCTCCAGGATAGGCTCCAAAGCTACACAGAGAAAACATGTCTCGAAAAACCAAAAAAAAAAAAAAAAAAAAAAAAAGATTCATTTATTATATATACAGTGTTTTGCCTGCATGTACACCTGTATGCCAGAAGAGGGCACAAGATCTCATTATAGATGTTTGTGAGCCACCATGTGGTTGCTGAAAATTGAACTTGGGCCCTCTAGAAGAGCAGCCAGTGCTCTTAACCTCTGAGCCATCTCTCCAGCCCTTGATTTTTTATTTATTTTTTTAAGATTTTATTTATTATGTATACAACATTCTGCTTCCATGTATATCTGCACACCAGAAGAGGGCACTAGATCTCATAAAGGATGGTTGTGAGCCACCATGTGGTTGCTGGGAATCGAACTCAGAACCCCGGGAAGAGCAGTCGGTGCTCTTAACATCTGAGCCATCTCTCCAGCCCCTAAAATATACTCTTTTTTTGTCCTGGAACTAGCTCTTGTATACCAGGCTGTCCTCAAACTCACAGAGATCCGCCTGCTTCTGCCTCCCGAGTGCTGGGATTAAAGGCGTGCACCACCGCCACCCGGCCCCACCCTTGATTTTTTAAATATAGAGAAAAAAATAATTTAAAGTTGGATAGGTAGGGAATTGAGGAGATTATGAGGGGAATTGGGCGAGGAAAAAAAACATGATCAAATTCACATACAATATTTTTCAGTAAAAACATATTTCATCAAAAAGGAGGAGGAAGTGGAGGGGGAAGAAAAAGAAAAAACTGCCAATTGTTGGTGGTCAAAATTTGATTTTTATAGGATCTTAAATTCAGTATTTAGGACTAACATGGTCTCTATAGCTGCCGAAGGCAAAATGGTAGAGGGTGAGACCTAGGCTAAATCTTAATCTGAAGTTGGGTATGGTGGCACACTCCTTTAATCCCACGGCTCCAAAAGCAAAGCTTACAGATCTCTATGAGCTCTTAGCCAGCATGGTCTACACAGCAAGTTCCAGGCCAGCCAATGCTACAGAGACCTTGTCTCAACAAAACAACAGCTCATTGTTTCAGGAACTGGCCTAACTGAATGTGGCAGCATGTGTCTACACTACCTGCCAGCACCAGGAAGGCTGAGGCAGGAGGATCACTGGACCTCAGGAGTTTGAGACCAGCCTGGGCAACATAGACCCTATCTTTTTTTGTCTTGTTTTGTCTTGTTTTGTCTTGTTTCGTTTCGTTTCCGAGACAGGATTTCTCTGTGGCTTTAGAAGCTGTCCTGGAACTAGCTGTTGTAGACCAGGCTGGTCTGGAACTCACAGAGATCTGCCTGCCTCTGCCTCCAAAGTGCTGGGATTAAAGGTGAGTGCCACCACCGCCCGGCTCATAGACCCTATCTTAAAAATGAAAAGGATCTAGGCGGCGGTGGTGCAAGTCCTTAATCCCAGTACTTAGGAGGCAGAGGCAGGCAGATCTCAGTGAGTTCAACGCCAGCCTGGTCTACAGGGCATCAGGGCAGCCAGAGCTACACAGAGAAAAAAAAAAAATGAAAACAAGAAAAAATAATGTTCAGCTACTGCTGACCTACCCAAACCTAGCTTTTGGGTAGAACCTGAAAGGGACTTCCTAGGCCTCTAGAGCATAAATTTCAGGTTTCCAGCACGTGTGAGCACACACACACACACACACACACACACACACACACACACACACACACACCCTCACATTATGGAGAAGAAAAAAAATTTCACTATCTGATGTCTTCAGTTCTAGGTATGTCTTGGGTAAAGACAGTGACATCTCTCTCAGGAGTACACTCCTGGTGGTTAATGCCTATCCTACTCTTTCTTCACGAATCTTATTTTTCATAGCTTGTGAAGTAGATGACCCCACATAAAATAGCAGTTTTAGGTCACATGACAAAAGATGAGCTTGCAGATAGCATTAAGGATTCAGATTAGCTGATCTTGAGATGGAGAAATTGTCTAGGTGGGGGTGGACAGAATCACAAGAGGCCTTAAAAGGAAGGAAGGAAGGAGTAATACAATGTGAGATGGGTTATTATCGGCCTGCAAGATGGAAGACAGCAATTAAAAGTCTGGGGCAGCCTCTAGAGCAGTGATTCTTAAGCTGTGGGTGTAAGCATTTTGACAGCTCAGATGGGATGAACTGTGGCACTTGGGAGCCAAAGAATACTGAGTGTTACAGTTCGGATGGAAAAGTATTCTGGCACTTGGAGCCAGACAATACCACAGGTCACAGTAAGCATAGCAGCTTACAGCCCTTCTTCAGGGAAAGATTTCCCCAGTGAAAAGTGTTAACAGCCCTGCTTTGCTCTACTCCGCCCAGGGTCTTCTCTGCTCCGGTGGAAGGTCTCACCCAAACCTCATTCAAGAGATTTATTGGAAGGGAAGAATCCAGGAGAGTGGCTGCCCTCTGCCAGGGTGGAAGCAGACAGCTGGACAGCCAGAAGCTGAACAGGCACAGGGTTCATATAGGGATTCTTGGGGGGGGGGTGGAGTTTTTAGGGTGGGAGTGGTCAGATTTCAATCCCTGAGTTTAGGATGGCTAGATCTCCTGCTCAGTGGCACTGGTTTCAGGGTCAGGGTGCATTTCTTTGGTTCTGTTTGCAGGGCCAAAGTGTGTTTCTTTGGCTCTGCTCAGGTGTGTTCCTTTGGCTGGCCCCTTTTCCCTATAGTGGATAGCAACCCCTTCATAGGGGTCACATATCAGATAGATACCTTGCATATCAGATATTTACATTATGATTCACAACAGTAGCAAAATTACAATTATGAAGTAGCAACAAAAATAATTTTATGCTTTGGGGTCACTACAACATGAGGAACTATAGTAAAGGGTTGCAGCACTAGGAAGGCTGAGAACCACTGCCCTAGACTATGAAAAAGATATATATTCTGTTGGAAGGGTGGAAGGCAGTCTTGCCAACATTTTAATTTTCTTTGTACCGTGCTGGAGATGGAAGCCAGAACTTCTGTGTGAGTCAAGTACTACACCTCAGCACTCCATTTTAATTTTAGTCAAGTCAAGCTTTTCTTGTGCTTTTCACCAGAATTGTTAATGTTTTTAAAATTATGCTAAGAACACTCATGAGATTCATCTCCTTAAAAGATTTTTAAGCTGGGTGGTGGTGGCACACGCCTTTAATCCCAGCACTCAGGAGGCAGGGGCGGGTGAATTTCAGTGAGTTCAAGGCCGGCCTGGTCTACAGAGAGCGTCCCAGGACAACTAGGGCTATTACACTGAGAAACCCTGTCCCGAAAGATCAAGGGGAAAAAAAAAGATTTCTAAGTGTGCATCACAACTTTGTTATCTGTATGTTCAATGCTACAAGTGGACCTCTAGAATTGATTTCCCATAACTGAAACTAAATCTATGTTTAATTTATAGCAACTTGTCATACAGTCTCCTGAGACTTATTTATAGTTCCGTTCAACCACTTAAACGCTTGTTTTCTTTCTCTCGAGTTCTCCCTATATCCTCACTGCTCCACTTCCAGTCTACTACTTCGGAGTGGAAAGGAATATGCATTTTCATTTCTACTCCCTCTCCCTAGAAGAAACTAGTACTTAAGTACTATTTGCTAACAAGAAAAACACAAAAACAAAAAAAATCTTCCGATTCCTTAGTGTTCATTTTGTTCTGCTGTCAATTACTATGATTTTGCCTGTGATAGACTAGTAGTCCTCATATTTTAGAAAGCAAAAGTACATAGGTGATATGGCCGAGATTATTTCCCCTATTCATAAATGTCTGTATATATTTCTGTATATATTCCTCACGTTTTGTACTGGAAGAGGTTGCGGGCCACAGATGGATTAGCGTTTATCAAGCAAGTCTGGAGTCACTAATTTCAAAACGATCTAGAGAACATTTTTACAGTACAGACTTCCAAGCTGTACTCAAGTCTGAAGGCTCTGGCAGATTTCCTGGTGGCAGCGCGCTGGGAACTGCTGTTTAACAAGCTCTACGTGCGATTTCTTGTACCGGATCAAACAATTTGCTACTGCCGGACATTAGCTTGAGTTAGAGCGAAGCTCCTACCCTTGCGGGGGTTGGGGGTGGGGATGGGGACTAGCGAGCGTCCCAAAGAAGACGAACCTGGGAAGCTGGCTTTCCCGCATCGGGATCCCAGTCCCAGCCGCTCGCTGCACACACGGCCAGGGGCGCTGTCACGCAGAATGCCCACGACGGGAATCCACGCCGTGGAACCAGACCCGACTGCAAACGCTCAAGTGTCAAGGTACAGCTGCTGAAAAACTGCAAACGCCGCAGGGGCCAGGAACAGCTAAGGACCTCGCCTCTCCAGATGAACCCCTGACGCTCAGGAGGGTGGAGTCGGGCGCACTGGCCACACCCCCTCCAGGCGCTGGAGCCCTATTGGCTGCCAGACTCTCCCGGTCCCAACCACACCAAGGCGCCGGAGACTTGACTGTGCTGCACCTCGCCCGCCGGAAGTAGTTCACCGGGAGGAAGCTTATCCACAGGAAGTAAGGGAAGTCCTTTCTCTTCCGGTCTCTTTGGCCTCGGCGGCAGAAGCAAGATGGTGAGTGTGGTACCTGGGCTCTGTAAATCTCTTTCCATCCTTCTTCCCTGAGCTTCCCTGCCCGCTGTCGGTGCATGGGTGACAAGATTGCAAGTAAAGGGAGCTGCTGGGCCGGTGCGGTGGCCCGCAGGAGCCGGAGGAACGCCGCTTTATGCCGGGCCGAACCCTCGGTCCTAGCGCCTCTATGAATCTCCGGGGTTGGGGAGAACGTACGCATTGTTGTTGCCCCCGGGCAGCTGCTTAGGACTGGTCTGGGAACATGAGGCTCCCGCCGCCGAGAAACCGGGAGGTGTTTCTTGGCTGAGCTGGGATTAGGAGGTGGACACCTTCTTTGGTCTTCACCCTTAACGCTTAAAATTAAGGCGATTTCAAAGTGCTGATGTCCGTGCAGAGTGGGACATTAGAGCGTGTGAATTATCGGCAGCGATTGCTTTTAGCTTTTGTGTGAAGGATGTAAAGCTTTGCCCGGTTTAGTCTCAATGTAAATGTCGTTATGTCGCGTCAGTAGTCGTTTTCCGTGAAAATGCCAGAGTACATTGAGAAGGTCCCGGATTTCAAAACTGCTTATTAATACTTTTACTGTGCAGACGAAAGGAACGTCATCCTTTGGAAAGCGTCGCAATAAGACGCACACGTTGTGCCGCCGCTGTGGCTCTAAGGCCTACCATCTTCAGAAGTCCACCTGTGGCAAATGTGGCTACCCTGCTAAGCGCAAGAGAAAGTGTAAGTACCATAATCTTAGGGCTGGCTTTGCATAGAGCAGAGGTAGGGTTTTATTAGAAAACTCTACTTGCACGTGTTAATTAGTACATAAAGAACTTTGGCGGTTGCTATGTTGGCTAGATGATGAAAACACCATAGTTTCTGAGGAAATTGGCTGACAGTGGGTACTTGGAAAAACCTTTGGAATCATGTTTTTATTAGATAACTGGAGTGCCAAGGCTAAGAGGCGAAACACTACCGGGACTGGGCGGATGCGGCACCTAAAAATTGTCTATCGAAGATTCAGGTACAGTTTTTGTTTGAATGTCGTTGACTCTGGGGGTGGGATAAGTCGGCCCTGTCTGTAGCTTTTGACACTGGTGAATAGTGGCAATGACACCGTGGCCTGTTTTTTTGTTGATTTATTTTTTTCCCTTAAAAGTATATGAAACACTCAACTTTGTCAAGACTTGTTCTGTGAATGAGGACTGGGAGGCAGCTTACTTGGTGTAGTCTTGGCTTTTGGTTTTATTAAGTCCACTATCCAAGGCTGTTCTGGGTGGTAGTCATCAGCCTGGTTTGGTTTGGTTTTTCCCCCTGGAGCCTGGGCCCAGCCTTGGCATTTCTTAAAAGTACAGAATTTTCAGCCCCATCTTGGACTTGGCTTCAGGGTCTGTATTTTTGGCGGTTGCTTCTAAAATGAACCCTACTGGGTTTCCACTAAGGTTGAGAATGATGGCAGACATAAAGCTGCCTGCTTCCACCACTGCTATTCAAGCAATCTAAGACAGCTGAGTCTGAGGTGGTCCGTCCTGGAGATTGTCCTTGGGGAAAGTGGGGTTTGAGTGGTGTGAACTGCTGACTGCTGAACAAGGACCCAACTTTGAAGGTCACATGACAGTGTGAGAGTCTGTAAACATTTGTGTTTACACTTAATGGAATTGCAGGTTTGTGGGTTTGGTGTGTTTGATAAACAGGCCATTTTAAGCCTGTTCAAACTTTGTGCTTCAGATCACTTGCCTTCATAAAATGAGGTTCCTAAAGTAGGTCTGGCTGTTTTCCCCTGGCTGAGCAGCTTCAAATGTGCTGTCATTGGTCACTACCACTAAAGAATAGTTGTCGTAAAATAACTTGGACCAAAAGGGTTGAGTCTTTATATTTGAATTAGTTAATTGTAATCTAATGTGGGTGTCTTGAACGGGGTAAAGATAATGGCTTATCAGTGATGTTCTAAAAATAAATGTCTGAACATATGAATGCTATACTGATTTCAGCATTTAGCTGAGATAAGCTTATTAAGGTTATTTTGACTAAATTGAAAGTAATGTGCTGATGTTACTACATTAATTTTTTTTATCTTCAACATGGGACAGACATGGATTCCGTGAAGGGACAACACCTAAACCCAAGAGGGCAGCTGTTGCAGCATCCAGTTCATCTTGAGGATTTCAGTCAGTCATAAAAATAAAATGTTCTGGTTTCAAAAACGATGCGTGGTGTGTGCTAAGGTATTTTAATGTCAGTTCAGTGTTTGGTTATGTGATTACCTTGGAATCTAAATTCTTTTAATAGCATATTAAGAACTGGGTTTTCATACATAAAATTAGTTCCTGTGAGGCTGAAGTGTAGGGCCTGGATGAATTCTCACTTGGGAAAGAATCTGAACCTTCCCTAGTACCCAGCCTGTTTGCTTGACCCTTGGCATGGAGTGATGATGAGTGAGGAGGTTTGCTAGGGAAGACAAACACAGAGAACAGTTACTAGTATGGTTATGTGAAATAAGTGTGCACCCTAAATTATTTATTCCAGCATTTAGGAGACAGAAGCAGAACTCTGTTGAATTCGAGGCTAGCCTAGTCTACAGAGCAAGTTCTGGGACATGTTCCAAAGCTACAGAGAAACCCTGTCTGGAAAAACACAAGTAAACTATTAATCTCTGCCATGCCTAGGGTATCTTGAGGTGCTTTCAATCTATAAGGGACTTGAAAATCCATAAAACTGATCAAAACCCTCAAGGGTGGGGAGCCATTTGTAATCCCTGCTCTTACCCTGCTATTGAGCTCTTCATTCTGGATAAAGCCAGGCAGGCAGATCTGAGTTGGAGACCAGCCTGAGCTACAAATGCTTTTCTGATGCTATTTACTTATATGTAGATTGCTAATCTAAGTGTTGGTTGGACTTCCTCCTAGTATATGAGACTACTCTCATTCAAATGTGCTACGTTCAAGGCCATGAAGATGCTTTTGGCAGTTTGCATTTGATCTTGATGAAATTCATAGCCTATAGTCTGTTGTGTGATTGCTAATGGTTAAAATGGGTAAATTCTAACAAGATAATCAGACATTGAGACAAATGGCAGTTGAGCTAGGTAGGTAATTGGACTTGAGTAAATCTAGAGATGGGAAAATAAGGTCAGCACAGTCACAAAGTAGGTATTGATGAAGAAAATCCCTGTGTTACCAAGCATAGGAATGGTGAACTCTGTTGGCTAATGCCTGTGGGGGCATTTGTTGCCTTGATGGTGGTTCTTGTATATAATAGATTTGGGGAACCTGTAGGCACAAGGATAGGCAATGACAAGATTTAGAGTGCACCTAGATGCAGTTTCACCTATAAGGTCTAGGTTCTTGGGGTGTAGGTTCCGTGGGGTGTTCTGTTTAAGGCAGGGTTTCTCTGTAATGGCTCTGGTGATCCTGGAATTCACCAGGAGAGTCTCATCCTATGTATTACCACCAGGTCTAGTTTTTAATAGTCGGGGTTTTTGTGTATCTGGTTGTCTAACTTAGAACAAGTCTTAAACTATGACACAGCAACAAATGTTGGGATTCTTTAATAGCTTATGGGTTACATGCACCCTGTGGAGTTCTTAAATACAAGGTCTCCCTCCAGTTGTCCATAATAACTGGCATAGAACTAGATTTGTGTTGAACTTGTATGGCCCTACTATTGAGTGTTAGGGTTGTAGGTGGCCTCACTAGCCTGTAACTCAGCAGAGTTGATTACCTATCTAGTGCTGTTATTAAAGGCATGAACTACCACACCTGGCTATGTTCAACTACTTGAACAGAAATCACACTTTATTACTATTTTCAGTATTTACAAAAATGTTAAATTTTTTAGTTTGTAAACAAGGGTGGTGAGGGGCCTGTGATCTTAGCATTGAGGATGATAGAAGCAGGAGGAACTAGGGAATGAGGCCATTCTGAACTGCATGAAACCATGTTTGTAGAAATATTTTCCTGGTGCTTAAATGTGGAGTGGGAGGGGTTAGAGAAATGTTATGTCTTAGTGGCTTAAGAGTACTAACTGCTCTTCCAGAGGAGCCAGGCTCAATTCCCAGCACCCACTTGGCAGCTCACAACTAACCGTCTTGTAATTCCAGTACCAGGGAACCCAACAGCCATGGCAAAACACCAATGCACATAAAATTGCAAAAATGGATTTTTTAAAAATCTGGAGGGGGGGCTAGAGAGATGGCTCAGAGGTTAAGAGCACTGACTGTTCTTTCAGGGGTTCTAAGTTCAATTGCCAGCAACCACATGGTAGCTCATAACCACCTTAAATGAGATCTGGTGCCCTTTGTTGGCATGCAGGCAGAAGAATATACAAAATAAAATCCTTTAAAAAAAAAATCTGTAGTGGTAAATAAGATTTGGATTGGTGCATGCTAAGTGACTAAGGCAGGGTTTTCAGCTTTTCTGAATTGACCTCTGAAATATCTCCCCCAATTCTCACAGACCCTGTTTTTTATTTGTCATATGTGTGGGCATGTGAAGGTCAGGCCCAGGAAGAAATAAAAAGGTTTGGTGGAAAGTACCTTTACTACTTGCCAGCCCCGAATTCTCCCTTCTGCCATCTCTGTCTTGATCAAGTTGGTCTGGGCCAGCTATAGTGTGGAAGAAGCCCTCTGAGCCTGAGTACACCAATGCTTCCTTAATGCATATTAGTGTGACCTTGTAAATAGGTTTAAAGAGAATTCTAAGGCTCCCCACTAAAGCAATCTGTTCATTTTTCTGTGTCGATTTAGAACCTGTCTTGACACTTGTTATATAGACCAGGCTGGCCTTGAACTCACATAGATCTGCCT